GAGAAGGAGAGAAATTCGGGGAGGCATGGTCCTCGGCGATACCCCATCTCGATACCCCAAACCTCAATATAAGGCATGCGGATTCCTGTTTTCACGGCCCCTCGTCGCCCTATTTGTCCTTGGAGAATATTTCCTACGCAATCCTTGTGTAATCCCGGCATCTAGAGCTTTAGAATGATAGCTGGGCACGACATAATACGGAAAAAATCGTCACGCCTGCTGCAGATATCGGTGCGAAATCAATATTCTAAGGGCTTTCGCATCTAAACCTACTTTGAAGATCAAGTGAAAATCTTAGACTTCTCAAGATTTCATATCAATAGAGACCATATTCTAAAAATCGTTTCAAATCCAGCGTGCCCCACTATTTATATCAAATATATGCCTTTCAAGAACGATACTTAGAAATTTGCAAATGAGCCATTCCGCAAGGCACAATAGTTTTAGTGCAGGGCCATTAGATTCAGCACACGAAATAATAAGGACCCAATATTAATTATTTAATTTATATATCAAATATATATAATATCATATATTTTCCAAAATAAAAAAATAATGAAATATATTATATATAATTCAATTCATGAATTTCATATATTTATATCTCTATATATATATATCTTTCCTAATTTTCTAAATTCTCAATTTGAATAAAACAACGAAGAATTATTAGAATTTTATAAAAATGAAATCCTATAATAATTTATTCAGAATTATATTTAGAAAGAATAAAATCAACGATCCCAAATAATCGAAAAAACAACTATTTCATCAATTTAGATAGAAGAAATAATCAAAGAATTCCTCATCAATATAATTTTCTCATAATAGTAGATTCTTATAATCTTTAGATAATTTTTCAAATATTAGAAATAAATTGATATAGATCATCATATAGAAGAGAATATAAGAGAAAAAGAATTTCATCCTTTTAAATCCCAGAAATGAAAATCATCATATAATCGATATCATGAAATATAAAGATTTCTTCGAAATCATGAAGATTGATTGATATCGAGAATTTATTTTATTTAGAGGGATACGCAGATATATATCAGATGAAAGAATTGGTCCTGGCCGCGTGGACACCACCCTTTTTTTTCTATTGCAAAATATTCTGGTCGAATTAATTTTTCCGGATTATGAATTAAACATCGAGAATCTCAGAAATATACGACTCATGAAATCTTTATAAATATTCTGACGCACCTCAAATATACATATATTTTGCAGACCGAATTTCCCAAATGATCGTCTGCAAACACTCTGTTCCAGATCCTAAACCCTTCAATCAATGGCAGAATCCTCGCAATGATGCTGGCATACTGCATTCTGCACCCCCAAAACATCTTACCCCATTACCAAGAACAAGCCTAGGTCGGTCTCACCTCTGGCAGGCTGCCCCTTCGGGGTGTCAACCGGCCTGGCTTCAGCTTGCCGCTTTAAGGTTGCAAGTTCCTCCGATAAGAAATCGAAACACGAAAGAATACATAGTAGCAAGAAAATACTAGCTCTAAGAAGAAGCATACAAATAATAGCAGGTTCGAGCAGGTGTGCTTGGAGCGTCCATGCAATAAGAGAAGGTGCATTTGCCACACTCTCTTGCTTTGCGTATCACCAAGAAGCCCTGGTTGTCGTGCACGCTGAAGCAATTTTACTTTGCAGTAGGAAGCACATACTGCAAGTGCAATCGGCGCACTGCCGCGGCTCTACCACTATCACCACCACTATCACTACGACTATCACTGCAGTTAAGCTATTGTTGCTGCTGTCGCTCATGTTCAAACGCAGCACTCTTCCTTCGCTACTTGCACATCAATGTGGAAGACTCTTTACTGGATTCCTGGATGCTGACTACCATGCAGGCATGCAGGTGAACTCAAACCAGCAAGGTGAGCTGCCCCTTCGAGCAAATCACATTGCTGATTCAAATCACAACCACGGTAATAATCATGAAGTCATCATAATACTAGTCATGATCATAAAAACATGAATGACAGTAATAATGGTAGTAATAGTAATAATAGCAAGATACTAGTCGTCGTAATATGAATAGTGATAACGTTAATTAGACTCACGGTCCCTTGTGCAGTCTGGGCTCAGGCAGAGCCCAGCGTCAGAGAAAAGACCCGGGACATAAGGATAGATCCTATTCACTACCCTCATCACCATGGTCCATCTCAGGCATCCCCACCCCCCATCACACCAAGGCCATGATCAGAAACATGCTTGTGAATTCTAGCAATGGCAACAGCAGTTGTAGCAGCAGCAGAAGGCATAGTGGTGGTGGTAGTAGTGACAGCAATCGGTAGTAGCAGCATTAGCAGCCGCAGAGGCAGCCGCAGTACTGCTGCTGCTGCTGCTGCTGCTGCTGCTGCTGCTGCTACTGTGCTGTAGCGCTCCGCATCAATCCCAAATCCTAGAGATGCCAGCCCGGCTGCAACCCCCATACCCCAAATGTAGACCCCGAACCTTAAGTATGCTCTGAACTCTTCTCTTTGTGCTGTCTTTCTTATTGAGTATAACCGAAAGCCTAACTGTGGCCCACAGTAACGACATGCCCTAGGACCCCTCATCATAAGGCTTTGCCCAACCCAAGCCTTCAATGCTCTCACGCTCTGCCTTTGGAGGTTTCCTAAAATTAGCGGTACCATTTTGGAGGTTCCCATAATAAGGATTATAGTATATTGGGGTCTATAGTAGGGTCCCCCCTATTTTGGGAAAGTATCACTACAGGTGTGGACTGTGATTTGCTTGTGGCTGGGTTCTGGTAGTTTTCAGGTGTCCTTGTTGCATGATTCATGGTTCAGGCTAGTACAAGCTCCTGAACTCCGGGTACAAGTTTTGCAAAGTGCTCTGAGGTCTAGCTTCTGGGTGACAGTTGACCGCAGTAGCCGACACGCTGTAATAGAAGCAATTGGAGGAAGCCGGCATTTTTCGACTGGTGATGGCAGTGTCCTGGATTCGTCGAAGGCTGCACGCTAGCTTTGCACGCGGTGTGAGACAAAGAACCGGCAACAAACGCTCGCTCTGGAGACTGTCTTACAAAGCCGGATTTGGACCACAGCGCCCAGATTGACAGCAATGGGCAAGAGATATTGTGGGAGCTGTTTATTCTGAGAGCTGCAGAACTAGGGAATAGGAGTTGTTCGGTTGTGACGGCCTAGACCGCAGCCTTTGCATCATCTCGGCCAATTGTCACAGCCGTGTTGGAAAGGCTGGGACTCACTGCCTCCTCAAGCAGCATCCTGGGCAGCCCAAACATCAGTGTGCCGATGCAAAAAAGAAGGCCAGACCTAATCCTTAAATGTCTTGGGCTTTGAAGTACCAAGTAACAGTAGCTCGCACTAGACAGCTGCCAAAACCTAAGCCTCAGACGAACGAATCCACATGCAATCTCGAAAGCATTAAGCCCTGCCACGGAAAACCTCGTTGGTGGTTAGTAGGGAATAAGAGACTACATTCCCTATATAACCCCTATATAGAATATTTTCCCATATTCCCTACTAGACTGCAGTAAGAAAAGCCCAGCAGCAGACCCACATCGTCCTTGGCCACCGTTATGGGAAGACCGCCTTGCCCTTTTGCCTTGACTGGTGTATTAGTATTCATAGGGTTGAGGGTTTAGGGGTTTAAGGTTTATGGGTTTAGGGTTTAGGGGTTAAGGGTTTGGGGGTTTGGGGTTTGGGGGCGTAGGGGTTGAGGGCTTCGGGATAACAATCTTACTATCATGGTATTGTCATCATTACTGCTGCCATTAAAAACGAGTAGCGCTACTAACACTGTTGAGAATATTCTGATGGCTCATTCTTACCGTTAATAATACTACCATTCAGTGATGATTGTAGTGTTAAACTAGATTCAAGAGGACCAGGGTTTCCGGACTCAGTAGCTTAGGTAAATGGGCCCGCCACCCGAAAATGTTCTAGGCCGCGCAACTTTGCACAATTAAGGCCCCCGAAACGGATGAAGGGGTGCTGAAAAAAGCCAAGACTTTGCAAAATCAAGGCCCCCTTCACTAGTCGGGATTCAAAATTTATCGTATCAGGAGGAGGTGTTTTTAGATCTAAGGGTTGGGGGTTGAGGATCCAGTGTGGAGGGTATGGGGTCTAGGTTGAGATCTCAGTCTCTGGTCTCAGAGTGTTGGCTTAGAGGTTCCTGCCTCGGGTTCATTTACCGACGCCAGGGATCTATGAGGGTTATTGGGATGATTTCGGGAAACACCTATACGGTTAGGATAGCCAATCGTCTCGGAGATGTCATTGTGCCGCTGTCTGCAATCCCAAGGTTCGTGTTGAATGACATGGGTGACTTATCCTGACAATGACAGTGCCCTTAATGAGAGGATCAGTACAGCCATCCAACACCCCAATTCAAACTCCCAGGTTTAATTATGGGATCAAGGTTCTGGGATGAATTGCGGTTGCAGCTCCCTTTTGTTCGCAATGTTCCCGGTAGGACTGCCGCAGTCTGCCTTAATCCTGAAACCCTGAACCCCTCAAGCCAAAACCCGCAAAAGTCAGCACAAGCCCTCTGAGAATGCACGGTGCAGTGAGCAGTCGATAGGAATTCCGCGGAAGCTCCGCCGGATCCACACCCATTGGTCGCACCAAAAGATAGTCCAAGCCCTGATTGTGAACTTCCAATGGAAATGGAAGAAGAACTGTTGGGTTCTCCCACCGAGGAAAATACACCAACGCAGACTCTCTTCTATCAGAACCGGGAAACGGAGCTTGCGACGATTTCTTCCATCTGCTCGAGATCGCGCTTCGTGCTTGGCCACACGCACCGCAAGAGGCAACCCCAAAAGCACTTCCTTACTTGGCCACGGTCAGACTTCTGCTTGTCTCTGTTCTCAGGAGTGTGTTAAGATTGAGGTCCCTGTGTATACTTTCCCAAATCCGTATGAGGACATCCAAAAGCAGAAAGTCTACTTTTGGCAGATACCAATAGGTAACCAGTTATATAAGCAGAGAGCTAGTCACCTAGGTGAAAACAAAGAGCTTGAAATATCATGATCTGTCACAATATGAACAAGCTTGCAGCAAAGACTTTCTGCAGACAAGCGAGATGCATGCAGCCTCCTGGGAGATAATCGTCGCCGATTCCCATGGACGACAGTACAACCAGCCGTGACACATTCCTCAGTCAGTGTGAACGGTATAACTCACGATTTCACCTAGGTTTTGGAGATATTGAAAAACGGACCAACAAGAATTACGCAAGATATTGGGAATACGTGCACAGGAACCCTGAATGGATCCCGTTTATTATGGCAACTCCCAAGCCAGTCGTAAAACTCTCTGCATGTACAAATCTACAGATGTTGGTGGCCTTATCGTCCTGTGCAGTGTTTGCTGCCTAGCTTCGCTGCCTGCATCGCTGCAACAACCTTGCGAGATCCGAGGGCGCAAGTTTGCGCAATGCCACTCCTCCAAGCATTTTGAACATTTTGGGGTACATGTTTGGAGTTTCACCTGTGGTGATGCAGTGCAAGCATGGTCTGGCAAGAAGAGTTCCATCAACTACGCATAAAATACAGGAACAGATGCCTTCATCTCTTGGATATCTACCACCCCTCTGCCAAACTGCAACTCAATTTCCGCTCAATTAAAAAAAACTCAAAAGCGGCCCAAATCCAGCAGGGCTCTGTCGGCTTCCAGGGCATGCGATGACCGCGTCACAACCTTGGAAGACTGTGGCAAGCTGCTCTTGGCTGCTGCTGTCCGTGATGTTCAACTTGAGGATATCCAGGCCTTGCATTCAGATGTACATGGGTAGTTCCCAAAATTAAGGTCCCATTTTGACCCCCTAAATATTTGGTGCCGTAATATATCATATAACCAAGAGGCGCCCATGGTTTTGAGAACAACCCATTTTGTCATCCAGTCCAGAGGCCCGAGAAAGGTGTACGTTGGTGATTGCAGCATCAAGCTTGCTAGGCTCGCGCACCCTTTGTTTTCAAGGTCTCTGGTTGTGCTGAGACCGACTTTCAGCCTTGTGCAGTGTAGGGTTGCGATTACGGTCACCATACGCTAAGGGTCCGAGTACACTAATCGAAGATAATTTGAGCACACATCACTTGCACAGGAACCCGTTTGGGCACTTGGGAGGACTTCGTCTATGGTTCCCCCAAACTGGACACAAAGTATATACTCCCATCAATATTGGGAAGGAATTCCATGTTGATGAGAACCCTACCTCATATGCCATTTAGGTACTTGAGCCCTATGAGCCTCATGCAGCTGATGGTGAAGAGCATTTCTGCCTCCAGGATATTCTGGCATATTCTGGCATAAAGACTAGCACACAGCACTGGTCGGATCAGAGATTGCGGCCAGCCATGCAAACAGCATAGGCACGGTCCTTTTGGCGCTCCCCAATTCTAGCCAAAAAAGTGCAGAACAACGACTGAAAGATGGAGTCATGCCGAGCTTGAATACTGCAACACGACATGACCAGCTAGGCAGAAAACGTGAACCGACAATCTTTCGCCATCTTCTGGCATTAGAAAGCGCAAGCTGCTGGATTCTGCAAGCACGGTTTTCAGGGCAAGCGTGAATGTTCCTGTGATTTATCCTATCACTAGTGCCGTCTTTTCCTGAATACTTCAATCATTGTGGCCGCCCCTTTTGTTTCCAGTCTGACAGCTGAATGATCATGCTACCAAGCTTTGATACGACCAATCGGTCATTCCATGGCCCTCAAACTAACCTCATCTGAGCCATAGTCCAAAACTCCTAGTAACTCCCTTTACAAACCTTATAATACTCTCCTATATAATCCCCTTTATGGCCCCCTTTAAGGAGTTTAGCCTATGGCTCATCTCTTGCGAGTTGGGCGCAAGAATCCAATAGCCCCAATCTTAGTGGTTTTTAATGGGAAACTATTACAATACCCTAAGGGTCCATGTACCCAATATTTGAGTATTTGGGATTTGGGTAATAGTAATTACAGTACAGGTTTGGGGTAAGTATATGATTATTGGGTACTTGGACCCTTAGGGATATATTACATAGGGGCTATATTCCCTTATTCCCTACGAAGAACCCATAAGCAATTCCAGTCCACAATGTTGACGCCCCTTCACTCCTCAATATACCCCAAGGACCTTCTAGCCGACGCAGTCCTCTTTCCAAGAGTTGAAGTCATGGAAATAATAAACCAGAATACCAAGGTCCTCCTTCGTCACAACAAGGAAAAGGCGAAAACCATCCCAAAACACTAACAGTTGAAACTGTTGCAGGCCTTCCATTTCTTTCTCCAACGCCTCCCTCCGTGAGGCTGGTACTACGTCCGTCTTGTCGATGCCCGTGTTCTGTCCATCCTTCCACTGGAAAAGAATGTATCACAAAGATCTCATGGGTCTAGGTTTGCAGGGTCTAAGACAGCATACCAAATGCGGCAAAATCCGAATGGCTTGTGGGGAGTATGACTATATACTGCCGCAACGACGCATCAACCTTTCAGCTCGTTCAGCATAAAGTTGCATAAAGCGTAGTCATCTCAAGGGCCAGATTGACTATCGGTTACTCTGCACCAAACTTCTGGCTGCTGCTAAGATAAACGGCACGCGCTAGCACCGCCGCCACCAGGGGCGGCGGCACCAGCGGCAATGACAGCGGCACTGGCACCAGCAGCACCGGGACCAGCGGCATCGGCAAGGGCAGCAGCAGCAGCAGCACTGGGACCAGCGGCATCGGCAAGGGCAGCAGCAGCAGCAGCAGCAGCAGCAGCAGCATCAACACCACCAACGAAAACAGCAGCGACAGAAAATCAACACAAGCACCAGCAGGAGCAGAAGCCGCCGCCAGCAGCAGCGGCAGCATGAGCAGAAGGATAAGTACCAGCAGCAGCAGCACCACAACCAACACCATCCTTTTTGCTAATGACCTTCTATGCATGAGAAGAAAACAGTCCGCACAGGAATGGCACCTCCGAGATGGCAACTGCTCGGAGCTCCACACCATCGCGACGTAAGGCATGCATGGCCGCAAACCTCAACAGTGAGCAACGGGAAAGGCAGAAACTGAGCCGCTGAAATGCTGGCACTGCCCCAAAGGTTGGCGGTCATAAATCCAATACCTCCTACAAGAAACGAAGCTTACGCAAAGTAGCAACACAATAATTGAGGTTCACAGCTTTGGCATGGTGCTGTTGAAGTGCAGAGAACAGCTTACACATATGTTCTTGGGCTGGGCGGAACTTTGCACGGGTTGGGCTCGGGGGCAAACATGTCAGTTGAGGGCGAGCAGCTTGCCAACATCACCAAGACCTCCAGCGGACGCCCAGACAACGGCAACAGTTTTGGACATGGCTGATCTTCTTCGACTCGTGCTTCGAGCCCTTACTGACCAAAACAAGCACTGCACATTTCCACTATAAAGTTCTTACGAGGAATGCGGCTGAAAATTCATGCTTCGGATGAATGGTCACCCATGATGTTCAAACCTCATGCTGCTACCCCTTGGGCCAAGAGCACGTGTCCCCAGCCCTACGTGAATCAAGCTCAGCCAGCCTGGCCATACCAAATAATAAATAGGTGCCTAAATTCAATCAAACTCGGGACCCTATGTACAGAGTCAACATGCTGCGAGGATATATGCTGCAGAAGGGCCCGAAAATAAGAACCATGATTTTGGCACGCATCTGTTGCACGGCGATGAACTGCATAAAACCTACCCCTGAGCCCGAAGCATTTCAGTAGCTGCCATCAAAGGGATGCTGAAGTAAATCAGATATGAAGGTGAGAATTGCGCGGTATTTCATAGGCAATTCGTTGCCACACCTGATGAGTGACGAGCCTACTAAATAGAATATTTCATTGCGGAGAAGCCTTCAGGGGCTGCTCTACTGGCCCATGGTGCACTGGAGCTTTGACGGCTGCCGACGTCATCAACTAAACCTCTAGTCACAGACTTCCACTACTATATTGGGCCCTGAAAAACAAGCACGGACGTGCAGAGATGCCACTCAGCTTATCACCAGTGGCCGAAGCCATAATCACATGAATCAGGTTTCACAACAATGCTGTCGGGGTGCAGTTCTAGATAGGTGATGCAAGTTAGTCACAGAAATTCTGTCCCCTCTAGCAGTAAGCAACCATGATGAAGGTGCCTGTTGCTGAGGCCTAGAATTGTGCAAGAGCCCAAGATCCAAAAAATGAAAACACAAGCAATAGTATCAATACAACATATCAGTAGTAATAATAGAATAATGATGCTAATACTAATGGCTGCTGTAATTGTAGTACTAACAACATTCATACAAATAACAAGAGTAACGGTAGTAATACTACTATTAATACCAATAATCATAGTAATAGTAAGTAGTAAGAATGGTAATACTAATAACAAATACGAATAATGATAGAAATAGTAATCCTAAGTTTAATAGTAATGCATGCTCGTCCCGCCTCGAGAACAAGCTGTGTCAGCCCTGAGCAGCTGCTTTGGCTTTGAGTTTTGGATCGGTCTTAGGGCCTTTGTTTGGCACTTGGGGGTTTCCCAAAATTAAGGGGTACGATTTGGGGGGTGCTGATAATCAGGAACATAGTATTTTGGGGTCTATATTGGGGTCCCCCTAGTTCGGGAAACTACCACTTGGCTTCGTAGACGTTACTATACCAGGCTTGCGGGACTTGCTGGCGAGATCATCGCAACATGATGTGAGAATCAAGGCTTTCAGCTTTTACGCCAGGCTGTTTGAGTTTCTACAAACTGCTGGCTTCCTGACATTGTGGAATTTGAAATTCACTCTGACACCTTTCCCCGGCGGGTTCTATGCTACTAGGGCGAATTACAGCACTATTCACTCAAAAGGTCTAAACCCTGAATTCGCAAAAAAGCAAGAATTGCGCTGCCGCTCAACCCTAAACACTCTGATGTGAACCTACATGCATGTATGGCAAGCCCATGTATTGAACGCAACAGAAAGGCCTATTTGCACAGAAACTTCCAGATGTGCTGAGCCCCGCACCACCCAAGCCATCGGTGCCTCGAAAGGCTGAACCTTCCACTTCATCGGGGGACCTGTGCCGGACTTTTCCGACAAGTGGGTTTGCTTACTGGGGTTAGCAGGGAATAAGGGAGTATAGAATATAGGGAGAATAT